TACCAGAACGCCAACACCGACCTGAGCGCGAGTCGTGATGTCGACGCCTGAGTAGAACAGCTTCCATCCACTGAGGTTCAGGAGATGAATACATCGTTTTCAAGGAAAAATAATATTTGTGAGGAAATGAAAAAGAATGTGTAAACTATAATCGCAATCATCATACACATCTTAAAACCTCTGATGATCTCATAACACAACAGCAGCAGAGGTGTACAGAATTTTAAGACCGAACGTCGTTGTAGGCTATTTTGTTCGCGATGAGAGCTTCATTATATATCATTATACCAATTCCTTAAATTTATGACGGCATTTGGACTGCATACGACTCGTTTCAGCTACAAGCAATGGCACATTCAAAGGTCTTCAAAACAGAGTCGGAGGTCTGTGCCTTCAGAAAAATATGAGGATACGATTTGAAGTGAAGGCGAGAAATTACGTTTTCCTTCCCAACGAAGGTAAGCATTGTCATTCCGCGCCCCACAATTGCATGCTTTCACGGTATTGGTATTTAGACAACGGTGAAGACGACTCTCCGTATCAGCCTGGTGACTCATCAATTACCAATCACATAGGAGAGGGAACACTGACCGACATCGACAACCGCGTCCAAACCGGTGAACAAAATGATGGAATAAGGCCCGGATCTGGCCCGATTGATGTTAACACTTTGTACTACGAAGAAAACTGGTCTGATGCTTCTTCTTCTGATTCGACGGGAGTTAGCATAAGTAAGGCATCAAAACTACTTTTAAACGGGTAACATAAAAACCTATAGAGATTTACTTCTCTCCCGTTTTTCCGGATTTGAACGGCGTATTCGCACAGTTCCATTTCTACCAGCATCCCAGAATAGATCGTTTAAGCAGGCCACATATCTAAGGTCTATGACACCTGCTGTGACAGAAACGTGCTCGAAAATATGGGTGGTACTTATCTCGTACCGTTGATATATGAGCATAAGCATTATGTGCGCGTAGTCGACCGAAGACCGTTGGACCAATCAGAATGTCATCACGGTGATGATCCAGGAGCCGAAATCTTGGTGCAGTGCTTTGAGTTCATATTTCTTTCGTCTTGATTGTCGCTGTAAGGCGTTGAGCGCATTAGAGGAGCCACGTTTCTCTAGCATGAGCTGGTCCTTCTTCATGCATCCGCCATTGACGTCCACTGATGAGAGATCATTTGCCGACCGGCTGAACAGTGGCAGCCGCTTTCCAACCACTGGGTGATTATGAGGACCAGTCGTTATTTTAAAATGATCTATTAGAACCACGTTGACCGACCGTTTCAGGGTTCAAGACATTCATTTACGCCTATAGTAGCGG